GTGAGTAGTGAGATATTTTAGTGTTCATCTTTATTTTTGCACTTCTAAGTTCTAAGTATGTAATGGTGTAATGGACATAGCTTGCATCATCAAGTTAGAAAGAACAAGATGCATTGCCAAGTACAAAATGTTGCAAAGGCAAGACACACGTGATCACACCGTGGGCCAACAAGCACTGTGTTGACTCTGGGGTACAGAAAACTTAAACGGCCTGGATGAATATTTGAATATGAATGAAGTGTATCTGTTGTTGTGTATGTTATATATGTGTGTGTGTGTGTGTGTGTGTAAAGTTTGTACTGTATAATGTATGTAGTTAGAAACAGACATAGTTTATAAACAGAGTACACCCACCCTCCCACATACATGAGCGCGCGCGCGCGCGCGTGTGTGTGTGTGCGCGTGCGCGCGTGCGTGCGTGCGTGCGTGTATGTTAGTGTATACATTGACAGACAGACGGGGAAAACGTTATTATGCCTACGATTCACAATGAAAAAATGAATGCGCCCAACCAGAAGGTGGAATTGAGCGACAGACAACCATCCAATAGTATTGGAAAATCTGCATTTCAAGAAAAAAAAAACAAAAAAAACTGGGAACTCTCCACTCTTCAGTTTATAACTACTTTTGCAAGATTAGACTTTGGAAGAAACTGAGGTGAACAAGATGCAGAGTTTTGGCTTATGTAAATGATACCCACGTGTTGTGAAGCAAAATATCAACGGTTTTAGCTTTCCTTTACTCTTTTTCATCTGATAGTCGGGAAGATTATGTAATTCACTGTATATATATGTACTAGAGTGGGTGAGTATTTTCATGTATATGCATATATATATATATATATATATATATATATATATATATATGTGTGTGTGTGTGTGTGTGTGTGTGTGTGTGTGTGTGTGTGTGTATGTAATACATGTGTGTGTGTAATACATACATGTGTGTGTGTGTGTAATACATACATGTGTGTGTGTATAATACATACATGTGTGTGTATGATACATGCATGTGTGTGTGTGTATAATACATACATGTGTGTGTATAATACATGCATGTATGTGTGTGTATAATACATACATGTGTGTGTGTATGTGTGTGTGTGTGTGTGTGTGTGTGTGTGTGTGTGTGTGTGTGTGTGTGTGTGTGTGTGTGTGTGTACATGCGTGCGCGTGCAGGTATGCGTGTCCGTGTAGCACAAACACTGACATGTAAATGCACTCATATATATAATCAAGATATTAATAGAGCTCCAGATACAAACACCGCTAGACTAAAGATCAGCCCCGAGATGCAAGGTCACTATGCATGGGCAAGTATAAATAAATCACCCCATCCTCTCTCTTTTTTTCTTTCTTTTTTTTTTGCGAGCCTCAAGGTCAGCTGGTGGTGCGAGGCTAGAGGAGCCTTGAAGTCCTCAGTAGCAAGCTATTTGACTGGTGACTAAAAGGGTGTCTGTTTGGGTGTGTAAGTCTCTCTATATAAACGAGTTGGTGCCGGGTTATGTGGCATCAGATTCGGCGCGTTGGGTGATTTTGACTGTCTTTTGTTTTTGTGTTTTTTTTGTGTGTGTGTGCGTTGATATTTTGGGAGTGGCTAGCATGTCTGGACACCGACTTGATGTTCGTATATATGCATACATATTTATATATCAATGTACCTGTATTATGTTTCCATCTATATATATATATATATCACACATATATACATACTTATACATAAGCACACACACACCCTCTCTCTCTCACACACACACACACACATTGACGGACTACCTCGCCAACTACTTTGGCAGGAAAACGAAGTGCATGCGATACATTGTTATTTTTCTTGTGGCTTTGTTGCATTTCTATTCGCACAAGTTCTATGTTTATATGTATATATATATAGAAAGTGTGTGTGTGCGTGTGCTTGTGTGCGCGCGCATTACACATGTAATGCTAATCGGAACTACAAAATGAGTTGGTTAAGTTGGTTATATATATATAAATGTTATTTTTCTTTATTTTTTTATGATTAACTATTTGTTAATCCGTATACTACATATGGTAAATAATGAAAAGAAAGTGTGTGTGTGTGTGTGTGTGTGTGTGTGTGTGTGTGTGTGTGTGTGTGTGTGTGTGTGTGTGTGTGTGTGTGTGTGTGTGTGTAGACCTCCCCCACCTCCTCTTCCAAATTCATTGCTGAGCTTGCCAGTGTGTGAACCACCAATTTCGAGTCTTATCCAAAGCCTGCCTATACGAGTACGAGTGTGTAGGAATAGAAGCGATATGTTTTATTGGAAACAGTATGAGGAGAGTATGTATTTCATATTTAAGTGTCAGAATGATATGTCTGGGATATTTAATTCGGTTAAAAGAGTCGAAACGGAAAGAGTAAGGGCATTTGGTTCAAAAACAAAAGACTCGAAACGATAAAGATAGAAGCATGTGTTTCGGATGCAGGAGTCGAATCAGGAAGAATGTGTGAACACGTGTTTCGGATAATGGGGTCGAAACCG